TCGCACGGCCCACCAACTTCACCGACTCAAAGTCATCGTCAAGTCTAGTGAAACAAGAGATTTCCCTCTGAGTCCAGTCCTAACCTCAGAACCAACCTTAGAGCCTTCTCAAGGGGGCCTCACTGGACCCTTCCAGTCCAGTCCTTCGACCGCCTCGGTCAGCCGGTCAGCCAAGACGGGACGAGACAGCCCGACGTCTCCGTCAGTCTGAGGTTCTCAACGTCCCGAAAACCAACGCGGTGGGGGCGCCTGGTCGACCACTGCGATTGGAACATCCAGGAAGTCTGTGGATCACCTTGTTGAGGGGACAAAACACTCCGCTAGACATAGAAGAAGGTCAGTATACGTTCCAAGGATCGATCTTTCGGCCGATTCATCTCGCATTCCGGACGGCGCTACGCCGCGGACGGCGCTACGCCGCTACGCCGCCGCCCTGTGCTGAGAATGGCCCCCAAAGGCTAGATGTGCATGTGTGGCTGTGCACCGTTGGGGTTCGGTTCAATGTTTGATGTCATAAATATGGCATATGCATGTATTTACACTAATATATAACAAAATTCATAAGTTAAATGTATTGAACATGTTATCCAGAGAACTGAATTGCTTTGGATTTGGGTGGAGACTGTTACCTCTCTTTCGAAGCTTCATGTTGTATCTCAGCCAGCTGATGCTTGTACCTCTCAATGGTCAAACGTGGCATCTCACGGTTATTTTTCACTTCACGGGGGTGTTTCTCTTTTCTACTTTTTTCGGCCTACATATAGGTACTTCATGTCCTCCTACATGTGTCCTACATATGGACATATTTACACCATTTTATACCTATACCTTCACCCCTTGAAGCAGCCCCACCCCGGAGTCCGTCGCCTTCCGCCCCGTGGAGTGAAAAACATCGCCGCCAGGCAAAGCCGACGTTCCCGTTTTCGCTGGCCGCCCGGGCCCGAGAATGAGAGTCTGAGACTTGGTGAATGAAACAGGTAGGGTAGCTTCTTGTTACTAGGTAGTAATGGCAGAAGCTACTAGTAGCGATGCCCGTGCTCCTAGTAGCGATGCCCTGCTTCTTGTGACTAGTACTTTGGTGGATACTCTTGAGATGAAGGTAGAAGAGGTTGAACTTCTCAAGTTGAAGGATTCATTAAGGGTCATGCCACTTCAACTTAAAACAGAGAGCTTCAAGCTGGTACACTTTGTTTGCGTTTGTTGAATGCAACTTTTTTTGCACGTGTTGTGCCTTTGTTTTGAGTTGCACACTCCCTTAGAGATTAGCTATGTGGTGAACATGTACAGTGGTTTCAGAGGTTCGATGGCACTGGCCCAAGATGTCCTTTAGATCGGGGTCCATATATGTATATGTTATTTTGCCATCCAACTTGCAGGATTGTGCCATCTACTTTGGTTTACTACATAGACCGTGTGGTGATCCCCAAAGAATATGCGTGGCACGGTGTCCAATGCATTTTTGATGGGGATCGACGTTTCTACTGTATCTATTTGATTCTATTTGAGGGTCTATACATAGTAACAAGAAGCTACTAGGAACCAAGGGCAACGCTACGGACGGAGCAAGAAGCTACTATATAGTAGCTCCTGGCCATACTAGCAACAAGAAGCTACTAGTAACAAGAACCAAGGTATAGTAACTGGTACTACTAGTAGCTACTTGTGTCCTGGTACTAGTACCAAGAAGCTACAAGCTGCTTGGTAATTTCAGCTTGTCTTCAGCAAGTGGCAGTTTGTTCAGACCTTCCCACCCTTCACCCAATCGTCGTCAGGTCAGTTAGTGGCACCATGGAGGCCACAACGACGCACGCACGGCGAGCTTCTCGGGGCAGGGAGGTGTCGTCGCTCATCATAAATCAACGACCAAATTACTTACTTACTTATATATTTGGGGGTGTCCCAGCGAAGTAAGTACTGTAAGACACACCCTTCTACTTACTTACTTACTTACACCCAAATAGAAGTTTGTAGATCTCCACGAAGCAAGACATGTCTTGATCTCCACGTGGCCCATGAGATACCTCTTTGGGGATCATCACCTCACCTCGAACGACGGCTTCTTCCGATACCTCTTGCTCTTGGAAGGTCCTGGTACCAGGGTGAGATCTTGGGCTTCAGGTCAGTCATGGCTGCTCACATCTGCTCGACAGCAGTTGGACTGATATGTGTGCAGTTGCACTGGTGCACAGCAATGCTTGGAAATGCAGATGGTGCTAGACTGTGCCCAACCGGAGCATCGTCCATAGGTCTTCGATATGAAAGATACGCAGTGTCGGCCGGTCTGCCGTTCGGACTGTTCGGAGTCGCGGCCGTTCGGGCAGTGACCCAGAGACCGGCAGTGGGCATCCCTTCAAGCCTTCCTGAGGCAAAGCTCTTCAGAACAGAAACCAAAGCTCTTCTGCCTCAATCGGATAGCACACAGGAACTGACTCATTACATCCACTGACACCAGCACTGAGTCCACCCAGCCTGTTTCAGGCCGGTAGCCGAGAGCATTGCACTGCCCAAAAGCCTTCTTGAACGCTCTTCGTTCAGCGCAAAAGGTTGGCGTCCGACGGTTTGGTTGGTCCAAGGCCGAAACCAAGTCACGGCCAATGAAGCGCCAAAAAAGGAAGAGAGCGCTCAAGGAAAGTGACCAGACACCAACGGTTGCCAGACCCCTCGAATCCGATCAAGAAACTATAAGAAGTCTTGACACAACTCCAGTTTAAGGGCGACCTCACCAGGCAGCATGGAGCTGCAACCCCTCTGCATAAGTTTCAAATGTTTCTGCACAATCTAGCTTGCGTGCTGCACGATCAAAGTAACAAAACTCATTCAAATCACCAAACGAAGTCTCAACCTGATGCTGTGGCTCATCTCAACTCTCAACATCTCTCTTTGCCACCGCCAAGTGGAGAGCTGAAATCTTGCGAAACCACTCATCGTCCGTCAACCATCTGGCCCTTTACCGGGCATACAGACCAGAAAACCAACAGGGTCTGGAGACATTCGCAAACATGATGATATACCCTCCCTCAAACAATCATGGAAGTTTCCTCAGGCCCTCCTTGTACAGGAAAATTGGTCTTCCAGGACCATGATTGTTTCAGGGAGCGTAAGATGAAGGAACAGAGGGCGCTACTAGGAGCAAAGGGCATCGCTACTAGGAGCAATGAATCTACTAGGGGCTCCTGGCATCGCTACTAGGAACAAGGACGCTACTAGGGGCTCCTGGCCTTTTACTACTAGGAACAGAAAAAGCAATGGAGCCGACGGCAATGCCTGGCTCCACCACTCCGACAGGCCGAGCCGCTCGCTGGCCGTGGTCGCCACAAAAGGGTCCACGATGCGACGCTGCGATGCTGCCGGGTGGGTCGCGAAACCGTTTCTAATAGTTTCTAGATACGTAGGTGTGGATGTGTTTGTTTTCAACTACTTGGGATGATGGAACACACTGATTTATATGTTTCAAGTGAGTTGAAACCACCAAGCAGGTTTGAAAAATGGGCCAAAGCACTGACCTGAGTCACCCGATGCACCTCTTGCAAGTGCACTTCACCTGAAACGAGGAGTGTATATTGTGTTCCACCATGTCACCCATTGCAGAATTGGGTAAGCTATGGTAAGCTCAACTTTGTAAAGAAAGAAACAAACGGATAGATAGATGAGCTGAGTCAGCTGAACCAGTGTTCCAGGTCCTCGACAATGTAGCAGATCCAAGTGGTTTTTAACAGACATCACCAAACCAAAAACAACGACAGCAAAACCAATCAAGGAATCAAATGCGGTGGGTTAAAGATTATGAGATGTGAGTCAGAACTACATGAAGACCACAGCTGTTTTTGGAACCAAGAACTGCCCTTCCGACCAATTCATTCAGACTTCACCAGTGGTGTAACTCAGAGGGTACACCTGGGGGGCGTTGAGAACCATTATATAGCGTAAGGACTTGCATGTGTCAGCATTGTGACTTAAACAAAAGGTGGATTGAACGGATAGGATAGGATACATGCTGCATACTGCAACCTGTGTATGTTTATTGTCTTTACAGTGTGTTTCTTCTTGTGTGGCCGAACCAGCGACGATGCAAGCCCAAGCCAAGCGGGACAAACCACAAAAGGGGAAACCCGCAGCAATACGTGGGGACCAGACCACCAGGGTTGCCAACACGTGGTCTGAACCCGCTCGGCAGACCGCTGAGCAGACCGCTGGTGGGAGTATCGGAACCAGACTGCGGCCGACTTGACCGACCCTGGCCGCTGGCAGAGCACAGGTTAGTGTGTCGATTAACGATGTTCCTTTCACTGATCTTTGAGGTTTCAGAAGGTTCTTTTTGATTGGTCCGGTGGAATCTGGATGGGGCGTTATCAAGGCACCCTTTCGAAAAGCACACACAGTTGCTTCCTGGCAAGCACATTTGCACAGTAGCTACTGTAGCATTTGGTCCAATGTCTCATCCTCACATGTTGCACCAGCAGTGTGACTCAACAAGGATGATTTTGCGCTTCCGCTCGTCGGGTTTTATGCTCCTTGAAGGAACAGGCAGTGGCACCATGAAAGTGTACAGAAACAAGAGTACCAGGAACTCATATGACTTTTATCCAGTTCAGCATCCTGTTGTTCCATGGTGGTCAATTAGAATCAATACAAATCACCTTCCGGCGCTTGCAAGCTTCGCAGCGGACCCCACCAGCACCGAGTGAGGAAGGTCCCAACAGATGAAAAATCCCTGAGATCCGGTGGGTGCACCGTTTGGCAGTGTTTTGTTGATACGGTATGGGTCAGGGTAGTCTATAGTAGTCTTCATTCTTTGTTTAACGACTACCACTACCATCCTTCTCATACAGTACCTTGGAGCTGCAGCAGAAGACAAGCAGTTAAAGCACTCATGTTCAAGCTGACAAAGCAAGTACACCACCCTGTTTTTCTCTGGCCTCCAATCTGCCCAAAGGGTGGACTGGGGTACGGGCCTGTGGTTCTGGGCCAAAGGAGCCCGCAGTTGTTGGAGCAACTCCGTCATGTCCGAGGCTGGGGTGTCGTGAATTGCAGGGTTTGGTGGTGCAAATTTGCCACAAGATCTGCGAACCGCGACAGTGACAGGCGCCCAAAGCAGTTTCTTCATAAATCCAATGTCGCTTTGTGCTAGTTGTTTGGGACCTCGGGGAATTGGCCAGTAGCTGGAAATGTTGGGACATGGTGAGTGCCACTTCTGCGGCCACCTCCTCGGGTTCCAGAGAAACAACAGATTTGAATCTGAGATGCCTCCAAAACAATACCAAGAACCGCAGTTCCAAGTCCAAAGGGTTTGGTTCGTCCCATCCAGTGAGTGGATGTTTAACCCGGCACCCCTACCCTCCAAAGTTCACTCAGTTCCATGGATCATTCTTGTCCCTTCACCAAGCCTCCTGAACATGGCTCCTGAAACCTTTGCTTTTTGTTCACCAGGCTACGCCATACGCTCCCAGGGGACTTGCAGGAACGGGCGGTTTGGTTCCACCACACGGAGGGAAGAATCGTTTCCATGTGGTTGCCTTAAGATATCCCAGACACGACCCTGTCTGGGACTGCCAGTCCGGACTGCCGAGAAACGGCCAGGGGTGGTGCCAGAGGGGGTCAATGTAGGACAGCTTCCTCAAGCTGATGTGAACCAATACGCTCGGTGAACCACCTCGCGTGGTTCTATGCCAAGTTCGGGGCCTGCGAATCAAGCTTCTGGAACTAACATGGAAGTGGAAACCCTCCTACTGGTTGAGAAACATCGTCTTCCAAGGTGTTTTTTTCTCGACAAACAGGAGGTTGTCCACTTCATGTTAGTTCCAGGGAGTGTAGTTCTCCACTCTTGATGAAGCATCATTCATGCAGCTGATGCCAATAAGTATCCAGCCCCATTCCTAACATGCAGGAAACTGGATGAGATCGTTTTCTCCGTGTTTCTTGGTGCTCCTTGCATTTCCTTGGATAAAGTTGACCATCTTCGTATGGCAAGCCTGCACCGAGAGGGACAAATCAAAAATTGACTATAGGCAAATCATCCCAAACGCGACCCATGGGACTGACAATATATACAATCTGAATATACTGTATTCTTACATACATCAATATGCCTACATGGACCCCGGCTGAACACCACCCCCCAGTCTGAATGGTCTGAACAGCTCCGAACGTTGCCCCCTCGCACAGACCATGGTCGTGGGAATTGGATCCCATGGCACCGTCAAGTGTTACCCATGACACCATGACGAGACAAGCCTTAACTCACCATCAACATTCACAGTTGCTGGTAATACTAGTAGGATATACACCAAGCATAGCGGTGTTGATTTTAGGACACCCGGCTGTCGGAGCCCACGACGAGGCAGACGAGGCAGACGATGGGTTCCCATGGTAACAGGGGAGCAGACGATCGCAAGATCTTCTTTGTTTCCAAAAACCATCAACCACAACCATCCGTTCTGGGTGTGTCCCCAAACTACTTAAGGATCTACAGACAGGACAGATCAGGACAGGTCATTGCATGGTCCAAGAAAAGCTCGTGATTTGTCGGGTGTCTTCGTGCTTCACATCCCAATCCCTTTGAACCGCGGACCGATGGACTCCGTTCGCTCGCTCACTTTGCCGTCCCATGGATGGCCTGGCTTTAAGATGTATTCAGAATCAATGATGATCAATACACCAGGACCATCCTGTCTGGGGTGTCCTGGCTGGAGATCCCTAAGAAGATCTAAGAAGTGTACGTAGAGTAGTCCGGCCAAGCAAGACACCTATTGGGTGGACCTGGTAGGTCAAGAAGTATTTCCATCTTCCAGTCCCATGGATTGCTTGGGCTCCAAATGCTCAGCCTCGGGCCTCGGGCCTCGTTCCTTCCCCGCCGCAGGTCCAAGAGGAGGCCTGGCCGGGGATCGTTCGTGTTCGTCGTTCCTTCGCGTCTGTCGGGCCGCGGTTGGTGAGGTGTGGCCGCCGGGGTTAGGGCGTATACGCCACGTGCAAGAGTAAGAGTGGTCATCAGTGGTCATGGTCATCAGTAAGAGTTGTCATCAGCAAGAGCAAGAGTTGTTTTTTACTCCCTTTTGAGGTCCTCAGTGGTTGTAAGAGTTGTCTTCGCCACTTCGCTGACTCGGATTTTCGGCTGTGACACCAAGGACCGACGATGTGCTCGTTGGTGCTCGACCGCCCACCAGTGTTCCAACTCCAAAACCCACACCGCACACCTTGGCGGTTCAAGAGCCTCTTGGACATCGCGGAGAGCGACATCAATGTGAAGTTCTGGGCTGGCTCTGCACGTCGCCGACGTGAGCAGTGCAATACAGAACTTAAGAGGGTGGTGAGGCTGGTGAAGAGGTTTTGGCAATGTGGGTTGCAAGCCCATGAAGGTGCGTGCTGCCAAAGATGATGACTGTTGGTTGGTCCAGCGCTTTGTGACTATTGATTTGCCAGAGCTGGTACGGTCACGCGCAGGTACTGAGTGCGTGCGCGCTCCAGTCTAGGCCCTAGGCAGGGCCATAGCTCACTGGGTCCTTCAAAGTTAGAGTGAGATCCAAACTCTTGACCCAGCAGTCTATGTTTTTGCTCTTGCCATCCGGCATAATTGCGCCAACATTGCTTGCACAAGTCTTAGAGCGACAGATGGATCTATGCAGAAAGTTGCCAGTTCGGAAGTACGAGCTGCAGCGGAAATGGTTTGCCATGTGCGAAAACTGCTCACCACTCTGATCCAGTTGCTGAAGTAACATGCATGCGCCGATGATTCGGCTATGGAAAGCACATCCCGGTTTTCCTTTGCCCTCGTGGACAGCCCCAGACAGGTCGCCGTTTGGGTTTGAACTGTGACATGTCTCTACCCATACACCCGGGAAGAGACCCACATGGAACCCGGTCTTGGCATAGACCAGACTGGAAGACGATTTTCCTCTACAACTCAGTGGCTTTCGGGTTTGATGTGGGTCTCTGGACCTCCCGGGCGTCCTTCAGCTGCCCCTCCTGTCCGGCTTGGCGACGTGGCCCGGGCGTCCGACGATGGCGACGTGGCAGGTCTCACGGCTTCGAGAAGAGGTGGGCCGCCTGTCGGAGGACCACGCGATGGGGGGGAGTTCCACTCCACTCCGCCCTGGCGGCTCCGCGGCAGCGAGCCGAGCGCACGGCTGGTTTTGGGGGGAAGGAGGATGGAAGGAGGACGTGTGATGTGTGATGTGTGGATGGGAAGTTATGTGAGTTACTAGTACCCGGCTCAGGGGTCGGTCTAACACGACGAAACACCCATCATTGGTTCACTGAGCCATTCCAATAGATGGGGTCAAAGTCACCCATGCTGAACAGCAGGAGCTGCTGATGCATCGAAAGGTCTTGGAGCAGTGCCTCGAGGTGGGGGGCGAGGGGATGTGCTTCGGCGAAACAAAGAACTTACACTCCCTGAAAGCATCACTCTAGGGCTTCAAGTACCTTCTGGATTCTGAGAAGGTGTTTGGGGTGGGTTGGGAGGGTCCAGTCATACCTTCTGGGGAGGTACTTGGAGCCTTAGGGTCATGAGTTCATCGCCTCTTTGGTCTTTGGATTTCATGCTCATCGGATGGGGAACAGAAGCGAAAGAACTCCCAAACACTCTCCATCCAAACACTTCAATACATTGACCCCTTATCAACCACCCCAATATGTTTGGGTCCGCCCATGGCTTGGACAAGAGCTCGATCCAGCTAGAGGAACATCGTTGGTAGAGCCATTGTGGTCATCTGTGAGAACGTACCCTATGAATCCAGGGTCCGGACCCAACACGATTGGTTCGGGTCCGGACCCCTGCTATGGAGGGCCCGGACTCGGATTCTTGGGGTATATCCAATCCGGACACCTTTTCTATCCTTTTCTTCGCATCCATCTCGTTGGCTTTGGACATAGTAGATGGACATAGCAAAATGCCCTTTAGCCACTGCCACAGGGCTCCCTTTGTAACTCGGCGCTCGATTTTGTAGCGGCAATAAAGTCGACAGTGCTTCACAATGGTTCACTACTATGTGGTTGACCTGTTAGCTCACTGGTAACAAACCAACAGCAACACCACAAGCAGCTCTCAAACAACTTGGTGTTGATTTGCTCAGAAACAATTCAAGAAGTTCTGCCCTTTTGAAAGGCTTCGAGATGCAGCTCGCGCAGCTCGCGGGGATGTCCAAGATGCTTCGAGAATCATCGTCCACAGTACCGAAACATCGCCCTTGAATCATGGATACTGAATAGAAAAAATCCACCCATTCGGATGATTGTAAAACCTCTTCAGGCCTGAAGTAAAGCCTCTTGCTGCCTGAAGGGTTGAAATCCAATCAACTGTCTACTTTAAGCCTTCCACCGGACGAGCTTGGTATGTCAAGAGCTTTCAAGAGGTGAAGGAGGGTCTCATTGGAGTCCTTTTCGTCCTATGTCTCCTGCAGTCCTGTTTTGTTTATCTAGAGCCCATTTGACCTTTGTTTTGATAGGAAAAGACCATCTTTTGGATGGTTGGTGATCCAAAAATAAAGGTCATTCAAGTTCCAGGTACCTAATATTTTTCCAATGAACCAGCTGATGGTTGCAAGAAAACGCATAAACATCATCGGATCTGGGGTTCCCAATTTTCACACCACAGTTTGACACCTCACCGACCGGCCACGGACCCAAGCCACACGTCCCGGCCAGTTGCGGGAGAGCGTCACGGACCGAGCCAGGGCTGTCCGGTGGGTCGTGAGGGCACCGAGGGCATCGACGAAGCTGTGGCTTCACCGACCGAGCGACCCTTCGAGCCATGTGTAGACTCTTGATGAGTTCAAGCCCCCACAAGTTGAAACACCTCTTCATGTGGGTGGGTGATGAATCAAGCGTTTACAGGCTACACTTCTTGGTTAGGATTCCATGGTTTTGCGAAAGCAAAACTGGCCCCGATGTCGGATGATCATGACCTCCGGCCAGTCCCATCAGAGGTGAGTGAACTCACTCACTCCACGCAAGCATTTCAGGGAGTGTATCATCCAAAGGTCGATCGGAACCAATAAGGACTTCAGGGTCGACCACATTGACCGTCCTTGTTGACTGTCCAAGCGATGGACACGACACCATGCCCTTGTGGTGAGTCGAGGAAGTCGGAAGTCCCCGCATTTCCACCCCGCAAAGTTCCAATGGTATAGGTTGACCATGTATGTGAGGTCTAAGCTTTAAGTATAGAGAGAGAGATATAATGAGATATATATATATATAGGGATAGTTATATATAGTATATAAATATTGTTGTTTATATTTTGTTGTTCTACAGATCGTCTTTGGATTTTCTAGACCCGTCTAGACCACCGTCATGAGCCTGGACGCTTGGCGCACCCATGGCCGACGCCTCCGGCGCCGACGCGCGGTCTTCACCACGCGTCCCACGGCGGCTGGTCGTACGCTCCGCGGGCTCCGGCGACGTGGTGGCGGACTTCGGCTTGGAGGAGCGGCTGTGGCAGCAGGGGAGGAGCTGTGGCGAAAGCAGGGGGTGCTGGGGGTGCCCAGATTTGGGGGTCTGAATGAAGAGAGGATGAAGGGGGGGCTTAGTTTCTTTGGGGATCACGTATCTTGGCCCTTCTTGTGAAAAGAGATGTAACATAGAATCTCACTATACTGCAAGGAGCTAACGGAGTGAACAGAGTTTGGAGTTTGGAAGAGCTGTTTTGTTCTCACAAATGTTCGCCGCTCCTGCTGACAAAGGCTTTGGCACCACACTCATACTGATACTGCATCCTTGCTTCGTCCATCGTCCATAACTGCCTGCCTTGTTCCTTTCTGCCAAGGTCTCAAAACCGATGTTACATGAGTTTTAGAGCTCCCAAAACTCATCACGAAGGAGGTCTCCTGACAAGATCCCCAATCCTGCAGCATTGATTCTAAACTAGTCAGCTAGGATGCCTTCCCAGCCCAGCTTCGTTACCAGAAGCGGCCTCAGGTTCCACGCCCTAGTAGCCCAGCGCGGTGATTCCATCAAAGCTCTGAAACTGGAGCTCGCGTCCCGCGGCTTTGGTTCGAGGTTCCGCATGCGGCTTTTGCACGAGGCTCCCAGCCGCCAGAGCTGTTGTGCAGTTAGCACTTTCAGCAGCTGTAGGAATGTGTGAGAGCCAGAAGCACACAAAAAAGGGCGAATTTTTGAGCCAAGAGGGTATAGATAGAATACCAAATGACAAAGATACGATGGCCAAATTGACCTTAGTGAACCAGATAGACCAAAATGCCGAATGCCCCGAAGTCTCTTGTGTTTTTTTGCTTTCACGTGCTCGTCAGCACTACTGGGGATGAGAGTGTTGTGCTTCGTGTCCCTGATGTGCTTCTGTGTGAGTAAAACAGAGCTGCAGATGTTTGAAGAGGGCTTGTGGTCCCGCCATGTTTGCAGGAAAGAAGCACGGAGATGAAAGATGAAGAGTTCCTCGCCTGCCAAGATGAAGAGTTCGCGAAATCCGATTCGTTCGGAGGACGAGTTCCAGTCGTCGTCGTGCGCAGCATGGTCCTCGCCCGTCCTCGCCCGTTAGGATTCTGGTGCTTCGTCAAGAGCTCCATTTGTTGCTGATGGGCCTTTGCCCACCCAACGTAGAAGATGATCGGGAGTTTCTGGCAGCCTGCAAAGAAGGCCAGAGATATCCAGTTTGCTTGAAAGGGTTCCGTTGGGTTTCACGGATCGGCTTCATGGGTGATCACATGAAAGATTAACTCATCCTTCGCAGAATGAGTCCAGGACCCCATGGATTGGTCGAACCACCCGTGGATCGAAGGACAGTCTCTCCAACAGGTTGACAGGGCAAGGTTGTAGTCACATCCCCTTCCATGGAGATGGTAACTTTCGCGAAAGCATGTTCTGTTTGGTCCACGGATCAAACATGCCCCAACAAGCTGGGTAGTTGGGTCCAGCAAATCCCTCCAGCAAAACCAACAAAATCTGCACAGCAAGAGTCCCATGCCATCCGTGCGGTTCGGCGGGAACCGCAGCAATGTTGGCATTCCAAAGACACCAAAATCACACGTCCAAAGGTCGCGATGTGCGATTCGCGACCCTCGAAGTCACCGGAGGCGTGCGTATGTCCGACCACGTCCAACGACGGACTACCAAAGCACCAGGCTTTCCCGAAGACATCCAAGCACAAGGGACCAGTCGTCCGAGTCGCGCCCCGCAGCCGAGCCAAGCGCTACAGGGACTAGTCGAATGAGCCGGACACAGATGCGAGCACCGATCCAATGCCCCATAAGTCTTACCGTAAGAGCTCCTAGTGTAAGCACACTGGTTAGGGAAAATGCATGAAAATACCATGTCCTGCAGATGGATTTGATTTAGTGTGTGGTTACTTGGACGATGGTGACGAAGCCCAAGCTTTCAATCTCCATCCCACGAAGACGCCACTTTCATGTGAAAGCATGCGCGGCAGGCGCTGGTTAAGGCAGGGGCAGCTTGTCCGCCTAGCCAGCGGACAAACCTTGCGTGAGGCAAGCCAGGGAGGTGCTACAGATTAGCAATCTTTCACGTTCGCTTTCTTTTCCAGGCGTGCGACGCCCCCTCACAAATGACAACGTTCACGTGCCTCTCCCAGTGGCCCAGAGCACTTGCAGGACCTCACTCCAGCCGAGACATGTTCCTATCTCCGGGCTCCGCCGCCACACGGCCTGTCCCGCCCGATGCTCGACAGCACGCTCTGCCTGGCAACGTGGCGAGCTTCCCGCAAGACTGTGCAGGAGTCACCCGTTCTCTACCCAATTGCGCGACGACATTGCAAGGATTACCTTTGGCTTCTTAGTAGGAGAGTAACCGCCTCGCCCGCACAATCCATTGCAGCAGCCATGCATGGGTTTTGATTATTGAGGACTAAAGCGCGAACCTTTTTTGTGAAGCATCTCAGACGTTTTTGACCGAGGGGGGTCGGTGGTTTCCTGAGCCACAAGGCCCGACACCCATGCAATAGAACGGTTTGCGCTCGTCAATCCAATTTGCAAAAAGACTGCCGCTGCCAGACTTCTCAAGAGAGCAGCAGCAACCTCTTTTTTGGAAAAGAGAGGGATTCCGTCCTGAGATAAAAATCGGCCTGCACCGAAGGTGCTGAGGGGCGTTATTGTGTTGGAACACATTCATTGCTACAAAGCTTTGGCTAGGGGGTGTTTTTCCGTCCTGGAGTGTCTCAACACCCTATGTCTTAGTATACCGTATACCTCTCATTATCGCATCATATGCAACAGCTGTTTGCACTTGTGTTGTTTTTTCTACATACCCAGTCTATGTTCAATCACCTGGAAACTCTACATTTTTCAGAGGGACCAACGTATATTCAACAATGCCTGCAAGTGGATAAGATGTGGATTCCCTGAAATGTATATGTTCAAGGCTTGAAGGGGGTCGAAGAATAGAGTGGTTATATGTTCAAAAAACTACTGTGCAATGTGGATGACAGAGACAAGACATAGAGATGAACGCGGCAGCAAGTGGATGAATAAAATAGAAGACATCTCTATAATCACTTTTTTTGAACCCTCTCACAAACTGTTTTGGTATGCTTTTGCAAGTTGCAAGCATTGTTGATTTTATTGTTCCATGCCCTTGACATTGTACGTGTTTCAGGTGTCCATTTTCCATCCAACAATGCCTGCATATGGATGTAGATTGAGCACACTGGAAAATGTACAATTTCAGGGCGGTCGAAGAACGCATGTTATATATACTGTATACACATAATATATATATATATATAATATTGCATATATACATATAATATATATAATTATATGTATTTTTTGTACTTGTAACCTTTTCAAAGTGCATGATCAACACAACGCTTAGAAATAGAAAAGGTACCTAGCCTATAATCACGAAAGGTAGCTGGAGCTACCTGAGTTCTCCTTGCTTTAGCAAAAATGTATTACAATCAGGAGTTTGGATTGTGCATTGAATTTGGTCCTGTAAGAGTTGATTCTGTTCGTCGGGGGGGGGGGCCCCCCCCTCCCTGGATCAAATCCCCCCTGCGCCGGTTCACGCCGTCATGGACTTCTACCAGGGTTACTTGTGATTGCCTGCTACCTTTCGTTCACCCCCTCCTCTCTCAAGCATAAACTCTCTAGTTTGGGACCCTCTTACAAATTGTTTGGTTATGTTTTGTTTGATATTTGCAAGCATTGTTGGATATAATTTGGACTCCTTGAACAGTGGCAATTTCAAGTGGGCCGAAAGAAAAGAAGGTGACTACATGACTACATACACAAAAAAAGCGTTAACACTATTGTACACTGTGAAAAAGGGTCGAACATTTCACTGCTTGGAACACGATATTTGGCACCCCCAAAAAGCCAATGGTGCGGGCGGGAACCTCGTCGCGAAGCGACCCGAGACCCACCGGTGGTGACCCAACTTGTGTGTCGCATCCTGGTTGGAAGGGGCACAATATGGCACAGGTGTATACCCCTGGCTGGTGGTTTGATCTCCAGGGGCACCGAAGTCTGCGTCGCTCTCGGCTGAGCTGTCAGGCCGTGCGGATGAAGTGGAAGCAAGCTTGCAGCGACTTCAAGATCCCAACGCCGAAGCTTGGCTCCCAGTGGGAAGAAACCAAAGCAATGGAAAAAAACAAACCTAGGCCTAGGCCCTAAGTTTATAGTATTCTTATATTATATATAATACCTAGGCCGGCTTTAGTATCTACCGGCACCACCAAGATCCGGTGGTGATACACTCCGTATCTCTGTATGTTCCTTCCCACAACCGCCCACGACGGGTGGTGCTGGTACGTTGTGTGCGTGTTGTCTCTGAATTTTCTCATTCAAAGAATTTGTGTTTTCTTCAACATCTTCTGAAACTCACTCCTGCTGAAGAGCGCCCCAGCTGAGGAAAGCAGGTTTTCTTGATGTTGGTGTTGAAATGTTTGCCCTGGCCGGCCCCTCCAATCTGCGTTTGTGACATTTTGTGGTTTGGTGGGATGACTTCACTCACATTCCCAGGAAGAGAAACTCCCCCCAAAACAAGTGCGCCGGAGGCTGGAGGCTCCTCACAATTGGGTTGCCGGTACCTGTTGCCATGTGTAGAGGGCGTTCTTTCTTCACAACCGTGTTTTGTGCAAAACAGGAAACACACCCGACTCGTTCTGTCCCATCAGTGAGGACTGGTGTACACTGCAGTGAACCGATGTTTGCCTAACCCATCACCGTTTCTCGGAGCTTTCAGCGCTCCTGACGTTTTTGGATCAGACCTTGCCAGATCAACTGATGAGACGCCGTGTACATATGGCCCTTGAAAGGTGATGTCTTCTTGCGTGGATACTGAGACCCCTGGACACCGGGTCCATCCAGTCTTAAGACACGACATCAGAGTGTCTTCACCATTCTTATGGTCTTTTGAGAGCGGGATGCCACCAGGCCCCCAATGCATGTTCATAATTCATCGTATTCCCATCAACGTGTATGTTGGGGGGCTGACAGCGTCCCTTTCTGTTTCGTTTGTTTCTTTTGGAGGTGCAGGGGGAATGTGAAGGTGGTGCCTTTAGACGGCCTGTTTGATCCACTGGAGCCACTGGTCCCAGCCCGCCCCCCCCCGGAGTGTCCAAGCGCCCGCGCCTGAGGTGAATGAGCGAGGACAAGCGGCCTTGCTTGTGGCAGCAAAGTCTGGGCATTTGGAATGTGTGCAGTTGCTGTTCCTTAGTTGTGAGAGAAGTGTTCTTTTTTTGCATGTTCCTTACTTGTGAGAGATGTGTTTTTTGTTTTTACTTGGCATTTTCTGGTGGAAGAAAGGCGGGGGAGACGGTTGCAACGAAAAAAGAAGCCCCCGCGTCTTCATGAACTCTTTGACAATCTGAGTTTGTTCCAATTCCGCCATTTGGTGAATAGTATGCACTCTGTTTGTGCACCGAGTCATCTTTCCGATGCTTCCTCAGCCAGAGTGCAGTATTCGTTTTAGCAGCAGCGCATCTCAAGCTCATGTGATAGACGATCAGGCCTTGTTTTGAGCAGCATAGTGTTGTTGTGTCTTTCTTTTGCAGATGCGAGAAACTACCCTAAGAATCCAAACGGGCCCTCCATGGAAGGGCTCCGCACCCTCACAACCCTATGTGTTTTCTTTTGCAGATACCAGGAACCCAAAAACGTTTCGTAGGTATCTCATATGGTCAGTATCACAAAAAAAAGGCAGGTGGTCGAGTTTCGATGCCCTTCATGAAGGCTGGGGGAGGTACAGGAAGCTCTATGCCAGTTGCGATGGTAGCCTGCTTGCACTGTTGCCAAGGAAAAAATAGATGAGATTGAGATTGATGTGTTCATGAATTGTTCCTCTCTTTGGTTTGGGAGAGTCGGACCTGTAGCACTCAAACACTCTTTGACCGACCCCAGGCAGCATTCACTCGACCCACCGGGCAGCTGGACGCACATGGACGTTGCTCAGGCTGGAGGCGAACGCTGACACGAACAAAAGCACCAGCGAGGGCCGCACAGCCTTGCATTATGCAGCCAAGAATGGCCACCTCCATGTTTTGCAACTCCTTCTGGACTCAGGCGCCTCTCGTGATCAGGCGAGCTGGTTTGGTGTGTTTGACGCTGCGGGCCGCACTTCGTTGGTGAAGAAGACTTATACTGAGTCACTGCACGTTACGCAAAGCAGTTGCAGTGAAGATCCCCCACGATCAATGCCAAGGACTCCATAATATACACAATATATAACATTATATATGCCAGGACCCGACTCTACAGGTCTCCGAAATGGTAGCTTTTGCAGACTTTTTCAAGTCGCGCAGGTGGTGACCCGTGAAGATCGGGTGTCGCGGAAAAATGGGCGCGCTACCATAGGGCCGACCTCAGGCCACCAGCCGACGAGGCCAAGGGCTTCTACACCTGGCTGCGTGGGATGGGCACCTGGAGGTGCTTCGCTTCTTGTTGGAGACCCGAGCAGAGGTGAATGAAGCGGAACAGAGTGGCGTCACTCGATGCAGCCGGAAGAACGAGATGTTGCGCGATAATTTTGTTTTAAGAGAGAGAGAGAGAGATCGACTTATACTGTATATGTTGTTTTTTGTTTGTTTTATTCAGTACAAGTACAAGATTGGTATAGATTGGTCATACTAAGGTTTTGTTATAGTACAAGTATATATGTTGTGTCATACTAAGGTTTTTTGTGTGTGCTCTCATCTGTTTACTCATGTGTTCTCACGTTTGTGCTCAGAGTGCGGGCATTGGCTTATTCATCCCTGTTCGTCTTCCACTTAACACAGCTTGACAGGTCTCCTGCCGTTTTCTCTTTGGAGGGGGATACCAGTTTGTTTAGAGTTGGGGAAGCAGATATTAACTTGTGTTCTTTCCAATTCCCAGTCACTCCATGTATGCCATATATGCCTACTTTGGGGTGGTTTGGGGGGTCAATTTAGGCATATATGGCATACATGGAGTGTTTGGGAGTCTTTTTGGTGTCTCAACTCTTGTAGCCTTTCTTGAGGCCGACTAAAGATGACCGATGATGACCACATGTTACAACTTGGTCACTTAGATATGAACGATGTATGGCCCACCGGAGCATGGCCAAACGTCAAATCCCACCAGATCCTACGGGTCTTGCTGCGATCATCTCCTGAGATAGAGAACGAAACCATCGGTCAGTCGTCCCAGTTTCTTGGGCTGAGCGTCTTGCACCAAATCAATTCATTAGATGATTAAGGGTGTCTGAGAAAGGGCATGACGTCGGACCTGCAAAAGGACCTCTGGATTGCAGATGTTTGTCTGAAGGAGAGGCTTCATGATCCAGAATCCCAGGGTTCAGGCCTTCTCAAGTTCACGTCCCAAAAAGCTACGGTGAAGGAGTTGCGGAGTTGTGGAGAAGAAGTTGGGAATCCCAAACCGTTTTCAGGCCAGAAGACTAGGTGGTGGTTTCGGATATGTTTATCGTGTTGATGTTCAGCCCTGCCTTAGGGCCTTAGGATGAAGCCCACCGACTCATATCTTTGTTCGTTGTGTTCGTTCGTGGGTTGAAACCACAACCAGAAGAGATCCGACAGGTTTCATCTTCGTTACAAGTCCATCCCTCACTGCCCGGGTCCAACTGTTCCGCTCCGACGAACAGACCGACGAACAGACCCAGGCAACGGCCTTACACGTTGCAGCGCAAAGAGGTCATGGCGAAGTCGTCCGTTTGTTGCTGGAGGCAGGTGTTTCTCGCGATCAGGCCACCACAGATCATGGCAAGACGGTTCTTGGCCCGCGTTGGCATGTATGTGCTGACATGGAAGGGGGTTGACACGCATGTATGGGCTGCCAATTCAGCCTTTTGGAAAGTCCTGCTGGGTGCCTTTTCAGGACTCTTACCCGCCGGAAGCAGAGAACTCAATACGACCGTCCAACAATCTCGCTTGGCCGGCTCCATATACGGAGGGAGACCGGTCCACATGCTTGATCTAGGATTCGTGAGTTCCTCGTAGGACTCCAGAGGCTCGTCCTCCTCAGGATCCTCCAGTTTTTGGTACAGTCCGACTTGAGACCCTCTGCCCTGGCCACCCTGGCCCAGTAGGGTCACTGAAAGGACTGAGACACGCTTTTGTCCTAAATTCTGGTGAGTAAATCTCAAGATGACCCGCTTTTTGGACGGTCAAGCCGAGGCTTTACACTTGGCGGCGCAATGTGGGCATCTTGATGTGGTGCGTGTCTTGCTGGATGCCAGGGCTGCCACGACAGGCACCCTTGAGCTGGCCCAGCAGAATGGCCACCTTTGGGTGGCCCAACTGCTGCAAAAACAGATGGCACAGATGCCGTAGAAGTGGGAAGAGCTCCCAAAGAAGCACGTCTCAGACTTTGGACGCTGAACACTGCGGACTGGCCTTGGGATCTGGGTCTCATGGATTTGGCACAGCTGGCGCCCAGTGCCCAGTGGGTTGTGAAGAACGAGGAAGGTCAGTCAGAATGAGGTCATGGTGATGAAGGTGGTGGATTGAGAGTCATAGATGCCACATGTCACAGACCCCAATGTCGGTGGTTGAAAAATGGACCCCTCATTTGTCTAACGAGATCATGGGGCCCAGTGCCATCGAACCTCTGAAACCACTTGGGGCCCAGTGCGGCTCACCTTGTACAGTGGGGCGGCCAACCTGCTCACCGCTGCTCACGGTGTTTTCAAACGGCATCTTCTTTCGAGGCGAAGCAAGCTTAGGCCTTGCATCGCCATGATGCCTTGCGAGGAAAAGACAGAAAGCTGCGAGGGAAAAAATGCCCAGGCAGCGCTGGAAAGTGACGGTGTGTTTGTGAGGTTTCAATCCTCACCATTGACCTGTCAACAGTTCCCCCAAACTGGAGGCTACATCAGATCCTATCGAGCCACGACTACCGGAACGACCGATATACCGGAAACCGAAGCGACGCGCTCATCTGGTGTGTTCTTCATGAAATAGTGAGGACCTGTGAGGACCTTTGGACCAAAATCCGCTAGACTCCTAAACCAGCAGTTCCATGTGGAGGATTTTTGGGTGCCGAACGAACGGAGGATTTTGGGGTGCCCCTGTCACATACACGGCCGCTGGATGGGACCAAACACCATTCCTTTGGAAGTGCGCGTAGAATGACATAGACAATCTGCAGAGAAGGGTGACCAAAGTAATACTGTACCTCTCCGCGAGAAGCAGCGGGATGCAGATGGTGTTTCGTGCGCAGCAGCGTTTCGCTGCGAATGTTTGATGTTTCAGTGCGTTTGACTTGTGGACAACGGCTTTGATGGGAAACCATGCCATGAGAGTGAACATGCTGTCATGTGGATGATGCTTGGACTTCCGCTCACAACTTGGCATCAGTGAAACTTCTACAGACTTGAAGCTCGGGACATGGAACTGCCGCCGTCGTCACTTGGAGACCTGCCGCAAAGATGAACGGACAGGAAGTGGGTGGGTGGTGGTTGTCCTTCCTTTTTCCTGCCCGAGGGATCCAGTCGTACCCTCTCAGAAGGTACTTGGACCCTCCGAACCTACATCCTTCTGAGAAGGTACGACTGGATCCCTAGGGTTGCCATGTGTTCCTGCAGAACGGGCACTGTCCTTGCACTCCGCACTCCGCACGGTCCGCAGGAGTTGTTGGAGCATCGAGAGGCCTTGTTGCAATGCTTGGAGCTTCGTGACGGGATGCAGGCGCGTTTACGGCTGTTTGCGGCATGACCGCGAACGCAAGTGGCGGTGCATGATGTCTCCCTCCACTTAGTACGTATAATGCTGTATATGATATGACTTGCAAAACCTTTTGCCACTCAGCAAGAGTCAGTGATGCCTCCTGAGGATGTGTTCGATCAAAATCCCAGTAGATCCCACCGAGGGATGTGACTGGAAGGTCTCTTATAGTGTCTCTCTAGTGAGTTGGATTGCTTGAAAGTTACATTTGTTTCAGAGGGTGTGAAGCAGCGCTAAGCTGGTCTGAAGTCTTGGATCCAGGATAGAAGTGAGAGTGTACTGGTGGAGACCCCCCAGAGATCGTCATATTAAAAGAGACAAAGTCTTTCATAAGATAGTACATGGTATAGTATACAATTTAAATGATGGATCATTCTATATTGTAATTGTAATGTGCTTCCTGACTTCCTGCTGATGAATAAAGTACATGTGTATCACCAGCAAAACTAACCGTCGGTTGGAGAGTCTCCTAGCCAAAGACAACCAAAAGCATTTCGGATGGCTTCGCGGCAGCATCCAATTCCTGGTTTGGCTACGCCAGATGATTCATCATACCCGTGGTGACAGATGTATCGGGTTTTCTCCCTGTATGAGGCATGAACTCGAATCCCCCTAGCAGGCCCGGTATGGTTCGGCTGCTTTTGGAGCGGAGCTCTGCACCAATTGCAGAGCTGTCAGGGAACCTGCGCCTTTTTCAGATGCGATTGAGCAGACCCACCAGATCCCTGCTTTGTTTGGTTGAAGGGCCCCGTGTGCTTGGTCGGCAGATCAAAGATTCTGGAAAGGTCAGCCTTGATCAGTTTCACTTGGGATATCAATTATAGGTCCTTTCTTTTTCGGTACCAGCGGGGCATGTGTTGTCTACGGCCTCCTTTTGGAAAGTCAGTCCAACTCTCGTCCCCGATCCGATCCGGCCTCCCCCGTGATACGGTGCGAACGAACGAGCCACCGGCAGATCCTGGGAGAGGTGGTCGACCGTCGGGGGCGCCCGGACGGATCCCGGACGGATCCGGGCGGAACAAGCTTCCGAGGCCTCGGGGTTCGGAGGAAGAGGCCTAGACCTAGATCTTCCAACTATGCAACATGTATGTTATTTGGTCGGTTTGATGCACTAAAAGGCATAAAATGTGTTGTAAACGTTGCATAGTTGGAAGATCCTAGGTATAAGGGTCAGACTGAAGGACCCCGGCATCGCACCGTCTTTGGTCGGTGAGACTGGGAGGATCTGGGGATTGGCCGAGTAGATGGGCCATTGCAAGCGTAAGGCCAGGTCGCTGGCCCGAAGCATGAAGCTTGCTACAGGAGAAGCAAGCAGGTCAGGGTTTCCAGAACCAAAAACACGTGTTCTTTTGGGACAGATTCGGCTTTCAGGATCCGCCAAAAGACGAAAACTGTGTAGGTTCCTCCTCCAGGGAGCTGGCCCGCCAGCGATGGATCAACATAGCACCAGCTGGTGAGCTGGAGACTTGTTGAAGGACACTCGCTCGCATCTGACCGTCTTGCAGCTTAGACTCCATCTAGGGCGCGAAAGAGAAATTTCTGCTGGCTTTTGGCTTTTGGGTGTATATATAGTTACAAAGAGTGACATTCGGAATCATAGATCAAACATTCATATTACACGAGCTGCTTAGCAGACCTCCAAAGCCTCCAACACCTCCCACGTTCAACTTGGCACATCGACCAACACCACGCGTTACAGAGGAGCACACCGCGACCACCAGTCTTCGCATCTTCCCCCGTTGGTCGTCCCGGCTTCGCTTCGGCGCCCGTTGGACGGGTTTCTGAGGCACCTCTGAGTTGGACCTCTCCTTGGCCGGTGTCTCTGCCGCTCGGTAGCGCGCGTCGAGCAAGGCGCGTGGGTGCGCGTGTCGAGCAATGCGCGTGAAAGCTCATGCGGGAGGTGGAACTGGCTGGTGGAAGTGGCAGGTGGATCTGTTGGCACGGTTGGAGCGAAGCAGCGGACTGCTCAGATTGGAAAGGGTCAAGAAGCAGCAGTTGCAAGGAAACATGAACACGCGGCATTTTTCCATGATGCTTGGTTGACCATGTGAAAACATGGACACGTTTCCACACTTTTTCTACTGACCGACTTCTGTGGCTTCTGAGCCTGCTATCGTGAATCTTCCTGACAGAAATCCTGCCGCCCCCGACGTCTCCACACTCGGGTGGTCGATTAACAAGGCCCTGACGTCTCCATGCCAGGTCCAGTTATTTACCCCACTCTTCACCTGGTCGTCGGCCGCGGGTCTCCGCTCTGAGGACAATACCGCTCGCCACGGTCGGGCCATCGCCAGCTTGACCGAGCAGCAGCAACGTGCGCGTTTCGCGTTTGGCCGCGCGGAAGGAAGAGCAACGGCAGGAAGGCAGGAAGCAATCCACTTTGGACGGCCCTCCTTCTTGGAGGCAAAAGATTCGACATGAAAGTTGAGCCACGACAGGCAGCCACCCTTGTTTTTCATGTATCAATGGGCGCTGTAGCGTGGGGAGATTCCAGGTCCTGCTTTCGGATGGCGGATGGAGTACAGTTCCAGAATCGTCTTCACGACTTTATCTAATTTGAAGCTCCATCCGATTCGTATAGATTGGTTTTACAAGCTCTGCGGATGCATGATCCAACAAGTATCTCTCACTCAAGAGGGGAAGCCGCGTTTTCCCACTTCGCGTGATTCGTTTCGGACGAACATATATATATATATATGCAAGATTATCCCTTGAATATGTCACTGTAAAATGGTTGGTTTTAGCATTGTTTTAGAGTGATGTATCCCTTTGTTCCGACCAGTTTATAAAGGTATTCCTAGCAGATGTTCTACCGCTATTTGCAAGACCAACGAGTGATGCAAATTCGAATTTGAGAGTGGGTCCCACTTCACTATACCCAGACCATCCATGGGACTGGCATATATGCCTACATTCACCCCTGAAACAACCCCAATGTAGGTAAATATGGAATACATTGATGGTCTGGTCTATAATAGCTTTGCTACAAAGCCACTGTGCAATTGTGCAGGACAAAGCTGCCCCACCTCATAAGTTACAGTATGTGGAAGATATCTCGATTACATCGTCTTTGCTAAACATTGTAGGTTGTTCATCGCCGTTTTTTTTTCGCTGGCCAGGAAGAAAAGACCTAGTAGATTAGTAGATCTTAGTAGTGTGTTGTGGACAAGCACCTGTTCTTTGCAATGCGGACCAATTTCTTGAGGTGTTTGGTGCGGGTTGCAAGTCCGGACTGTGATGTCTCCTAGTTGCTTTTACGTTAAGACTGGTTTTGTCATATCAAACAAGTGCACTTGGTATGAGAGGGCAACCTGCAGTTTGCTTCATTGTTTTCCCCATGTCAAAATCTATCGTGGCCCCAAAATGGGTGTCCATTTTTAGTCGGTGAAAGCACTGAGTTTGGTGGGGGAAACGAATACGGAGCCTGTTCGAACACGAGAACGCTCGTTTTGCAGTCGAATCCACGAGGTTCTGTGGAAGCAGGGCGTGTTCTTTTTGGGGTCGCTGATGGAGAATCCTCCACGAGGATACCTGGGTAGCTGTGTATTGTGTGTTTCCCATTGCCTGTAAACAGCTATTATAAATAGTGAATATGTTTGAGAAAAGCCTTTGCTAACCGGTATCATCCACTGGGCCCAGGCAATGGGGATACACCTTGGGTGTGTAGCTGGTCGTTTGGTCTTGTAGCAAGTCGGATGCTACGTTGGTGGCTGGCCGGAGGACTTTCCGGAAGCCCGGATGACTCAACGGCGCCTAATGAGTCTGGTAGTCGGTCTTTTTGCATGTCCACATTCCTCTCAGAGGCTACAAGTAGACCTTGGGGGGTTGGTGGTGGTGAGTTCAGGAGATTTCAGGAGAACGTCTTTTGCCGTTCAGTGGTTGACGAGACGTTGGAGGGCCGACCCAGGTGACACCCAGGTGGAAAGGAGAGTTTGATCTCGTTCGGTGAAGTTCGTCCCGGCTGAGCCTCGTTCGACCCAGCCACAAAGTCACCCCATTTGGGGGGGGGGGCACCCCTATACCGCCTATACCAGACGCCCCGAGAAAAAAAATACATTGAGCATGGCCATGAACCACCCAGCCATTTGGCTAAACTGATCTATGCTTCAGGTACCACTCAGACCATGGATGCCGTGATCCGTGCGGCCCGGGTCCTTTGGGCTTCCGGGTGCGTTTTGAGACACTAAAGATGTGATGTTGTTCTATGATTTCACCTATATCAAAATGATCCAACATGGTGTTTGTATCTGCTTTAATGCTGTTGAATTCATCAACAGTATAATACAGTATATATAATCAGTTGGTTGGTGAATCCACCGTTCTCATCTTCCGGACAGCAAGGATTTGCGTTCCAAGAATGAGCGGGAGTTTGTCCCAGTCTTCCACCTTTTCGCAAGTTCGAGCTAACAAGAGAATGTGAGTCAAACATAATCTCACATTGGCATCGACTAGCTGTTTACGTTGGCTTGCATCTGTACAGTAGTACCCAGCATTCCAGCTTTTAACAGTCCCGAACGGAACTAATATAGAACAGAAAAGACCAAGTCTCACAGAGACTATAGGTATAAAACAAGACCAACTAGTTATATACTCACTTAACTGTAGTATTCTTACAGACCAACTTCGTATTCTACAGAAAATAGACCAACCGACCAACCTGTCTTCTGCGGCGAGAAGACAGCTAGGAGGCCACAAGGAAGCACGAGCGAAGCTCTTCACACCGGTTTTGTTCCGGAGGCAACTGGAGGCCACGATATGCCACGATGATTCAAACATATCAAAAACACAACACCGAACTTGAGACCTCATTCAACCACCCACCCACCAGAAGCGAACTTGGCGCAGGTGCTTAGAGGTTGGCACAGACATCCACCGAACGTCGGTCACCGAAGCTCTGAGACCGTGGAGACGCTCCACCGATCGACCCGATCACCGGCCCACCCGGTCACCGGTTCGCGAGGTCAAGCGCTTGGATCGGAGCCGCTCCCGGCAGGTGCGGCGTTCCGCCGCGCGGTTCTGCCACCGCGCCGGCGCCGGGGTGCCACCTCCCTTGGTTTTGCTGTTCTTTTCCCGGGTGAATCCCTTTTTGGTGAAGTCTTTTTCCCAGTTCCGTGTCAGTCAAACCGGTTGTGACTAGGTCTTCTGGACTTGGGGAAGGTCTGCCCAGGAAGATCGACCTGGAAGAAGAGATGAAGGTCGACCCCATTCCACTGATTCGGTCGCTGCATGGACGAGTTGAAAAATGGTTTCATATGGTTCCAGGACATGGCAGAGTCTGAATACATGTGTACTGATTCAGAGCCCAGTGTGAGTGGGTGAGTGAGTGAGTGAGATTGTTGCGTTGAGCTGGTGTGAGATGGGATGATGCGAGATGAGTTAGTGAGGATTGGTGGGGAGGAGGAGGAGGTGGACGGGATGCAGATAAAATAAGACCTCCACACAAAGACGAGGGGAGAAAGGCACCCTAGCAAAGCTACTAGTAACAAGGGCATCGCTACTGGTAGCAAGAAGCTCACTAGTAGCTCCTGGCATTACTACTATAGTAGCAAGAAAGCTAATAGTAACAAGGGCATCGAATGTTTGGACAAGCTCTTCACCGACCACCCGACAGGCTCGTCCGACGTCCACCACGCCCTCCGAACTGGTCGAGGGGCCCGGCCGAGCGGAACATCCACGTCTCTGCGCAGCGTCTCTGCGGGGCTGACATTTGTACATCCACAGACCCAAGGACCCAAGACCATTGATTGAAAACACGGGAGGAAATCCTAAATGGAGGAAGAAGACTTTTCCTGGAGGAACGTCTATAGGTTTTATGTTATTTCGTGGGGCTGCATACATCGGCATTATACTCAGAGAGAGGCCGTGTTGACAGGATGAGTTTGCCCAGGCAGTTCGCACACTAAGCACAGGGCTACCAATGCAAAGCAGTGTTAACAAATAGATTGGTCAGATTGACACTAAGTTAATTCCTTTCCAAAGAGAAGATTGATCTATTTCCGATATTGCAACGCATTGTGCAGATTCAGATCAAAACCAAAGCGAACAGCGTGGCCAGTGAGAGCATGCAGCCCAGAAATGAAACCTATAAATATATCTACAACTCATCAATTGAGTTGGCTGAAGCATGCTGAAACTAACACAAATCCATTGTGATGTTGTGTAACTTTTGGTCAGCATTTGGGTGTTGGGTCAACAAATCATACAAACCTGAATTGAACAAATGAAGAGGGCCTGAGCAACCAAGACCATCCATCGGAACCACAATGATGGTACCAACAAGCAATCCAGGCGCTGCATTCCCTATTGATATGGGCCATGTCATGGGTGTTTTATATACATCCTCTATACCAACATATGATGAAACCCAGATCATCCATGTATGGAATAGTTGCCTACACTTTTGGGGGCCACAATCATATTGGCCAACCTTTGTGTTGTTTTGTATTAAAACAAAAAAACATGTTCCATGTTCATGGCCTGGCTGTGAAGGTCTACAGGCGATCTATGGGGGAGGATCACACCGAAGTGCCTTGAAACGCCGCTCCACCACTGAGGCCTCTGGACGATCACGGACCTCGCGAGGTGGGACGTGGAGGTGTGTGTTCTCCTTGGAAAGACCGTTTTTGTTTTGGCCATGTTCTTGCCATGTTTGGCCTCTTGATGTGTGATGATGTGTGTGTGTGTGTGTTTGTATTTGTTACATGTTCTCTGATGTGTTTTAATAATCTACTTAATCTACTCCAGTACATACTGGATACCGCTTATCAAGAAATGTTTGCACCACGTCAGGACCTGTTCTGTGTGTTGTCTTCTCCTTCGAACGGTCGGTCCATTCGACGGTCCGGTCGATCTTGGGTCCGGTCGCGTGTGCCGAGGTGTGACTCGGTGTGATGAGTAAACCGGTCATGCGGGTGACTCGGACACGAGCCATCAATGTTGAGCCGACAGGACACGTTTGTGCAGATGTCACTGCAAATGAAGAGGGCTTCCTGCATCAAATTACCTTCCCAGTCCAATTCCGAGTCCTCCATATTCGCATCTATCCCAGCCTGAACTAGATTTGCTAGATGCAGTATACATAATCAACCATTGGCAATGGACAAGTCTGGCTCGCATCCTTGTACCAGATTTGGTAGAAGTGAGGGCCATTGATTTCCCCCGCCACTTCGCCTTATACCTGTCGTTAATAAATTGAGTATGGCAAGGTGACCATTGTGCAAGGACAAGGATCGACTACCCTGCTCAAGACAAAGATGGTTCAGTGGCTCAGTCGATGACGTGTTCTGCAAAGATATTCCAGGCATGTTTGAGGTGCCCGCAGCGGGAGCAAGCAGACCATTGCTGTAGTAGTGTTGCACCATGAAAGCCAGGCGAAGGCGAGGAAGAGAAGTGGGCCTGACTTGTTTTTCAGGAAGGGGCTGTGAAAGAAGATGAAAGAAGGAGACTTCGGGTTCGGGCCCTTTTTTCAGGGTTGAGGGTGTTTCAGTTGTGATTCTCGAATGACTGATATCCTGCACCATAATGATAAGGTAGATCTGGCCGGTGGACAGCAAACTGTCCGGGCTTGACATTGGAGGTCAAGTTTTCTCCGACATCGTCGTGCGCTCACGACAGGTTGATGATTGTTTCGTGGTGGTTTGTTGTCTTCATCGGACAGGAAGAGAGGACGTGTCGAAAGAGCAGGGATCATCTCTTAAGGGATCCCAAAAATCACGTGCAAGGTACTTTTTGGCCGGAGATGTACTTTTTCGAAAATAGGTTCCTACTGTACAAGTCCAGTCTGACCCAGTAAAACCTGGTCTTTTACCTCCTGAAGCATTGGTTTTGTATGACCATCTCCGGTAAAATGAGGTCTTTGACTTGGGGTTCTTTTCCATATTTTCGTGGCTGCCACCGACAGGACTCTAAACTGTGTTTTATTCCGGGTCATGCACAAGTCCAAAGCAGTCCACTCCTTTTCAATCAGGGCATTTTCGCCACTGCATTGTTTAGGTAAGAAGGTATTTCCCTTCCAACCAGTCTCAAGAAATATTCGATGGTGTCTTGTGAAAAGGACCGCTGCACCCTTTCTTTGCAGAAGTTGCTGGGGCTTCCCAGGAAAATCCTTTGTGTTTCCAAGAGTTCATGGACCAATAGCAGACCTATACGGAGAGAATACAAGGCAAGGGATGAGTCCTTTGATCCTCCAGAAAAAGAAATATGAATTGATACTCAGTTGTTCTTCCCATTGTGACACATGTTGTTGCTTCCAGCCGGTGACCTGTGACCTCTCAGCAAATCAGTATGGCAAAGAGGGTGATTCTTCTGATGATGTTTTGGCTCCAGCGGCCATGGTGTGAACTCCAGATTTCAAGTATAGACTATATGGTTGCAGTCGGGTATGTATCAGACCCCTGGAAAGAGCATAGACAAAAACTTAGTGGTTGTGGGGTCTCCCTTTTCACGAACTTTGTCGGGCTAGCTTGTTTGAGCATGTTTGGATTCAGTTGTTCAGTGCGGAATCAAGGATTTGCAGGCGCAAAAAGAGAAAAACATATCAACAACTAGGTTCAGATGACTAAGGAAGAAGAAAACTACATGTGCATCCAAACCAGTGCCCATGTTGTGTTTTTGCTCACGTTTTGCCAGGGCCGAAACCACCGGAGCCGCCGACCGTCGGCCCACACACCGGAGCCGCCGACCGTTGGGCGCTTGTTTGGACACATCCTTCGCCGGTCGTTTTGGTCCGGAAGAGGTGCAGCCAAGAACTCAAGAGGGTGGAAACAGCAATCTCCTTGCAAAACTAAATGACATAGTTTATATAGTGTGACAATTTACTGTATATTGATCATGATGTATCTTGGAGCCATGGGCACTTATTCCCAAGAGTGATTTGAACCAGCATTTGTGACAGCACTTCCAAGGCCATAAACATTGGGTGATTACTGTTTTACAGCGTAGAAACTATGCCAGAGAATCTGCCCAGAAAGCCACTCAGAACGCTTTAACTCCTACTGGTGTGGGGTTCCCAAGCCCACCAAGACTGCCCAGAAAGCCACCCAGACCACTCACGTCACGATCACACTCAATTCACCAATGGTAGGGGCCACTGTCCACCCAAGTTGCCAAAGTGCTGGTGAATTCGTCGCGGATGGCTTCTATGCATCATGATTTCCTGGAGGCGCCAGACAGCTTGTTCTTGTTGTTGCTTTGGTTCCTTGGGAAGCATAGCTACCACCTTTTCGAAGTAGTTGCTCTCAACAGCATGATGTGCGGGGTGAGCTTAGCAGCTTTCAGCTGTTGTACCCAGACACGACGGTCCATGGGACAGTATATATGCTTACAGGTCGGTGGATAGAAACTTCGATTTCGAGTTGTGCTCGGTTCCAGCGATGTATCAGGCGATGTTTCAGCATGTCTGTCAATGTGCAAGCTGCTTGCGCAGAAAGCATCCTCACGGGTTCACGTCTGAGTAGACAGCAAAGTATAATAACATTCTGGTCATGGCGAGTACAAGCGAATTCGACATGCCTCATGCTGGGTATTTGAAGGACAGGATTTGGGTCTGAGTGTTTGTTCAACGGATTTGCCGTGGACTTGATCTTTTGAAAGGCGTTGTTTCCAAACGAATTGTATTCAAACAACGACGAAAGCAATACGATAACCTAGCCTCCGCTTTCACGAAGCCGAAGCGATGGACGATGCGAATGGTCAAGCCATGCCGAAGCCGACCATTTGCAGGGATGCGTTCGGAATGTTTGCTGGCGTAAACTGTTGCTAGAAGTCATTTGCGTGTGTATTGAAATAGGGATACCTCCCAATTCGAAACCCCCTGGAAGAAGGGAAATGGACCAATGGTGGCGAGAAAGGGTCTGTGGCGACTGAAAGGGCCACAGGAGAGCCGGGCGTGCAGGGGGGTTGTAGGCAGTGGAGCAGTTTCAGCCAAGTGCAAAGCTCATGAAAGGTTGGTCAGGTTCCTTAAGGAAGCTTGAGGATTCCTTAAGGAAGCTTGGTGTATTTAGGTGGACATCGGAAGCTTCTCTAACCTGGGTCAGACTTCCGGTGTTCAATTCTTCCAACTGCCCGGTTGGCCCGATTGGTGGTTGGCCTGACTTCCCCCATCGCGCGCAGAGGGCTTCGGGTCGATCGCATCGATCGGGAGCTCGCGAATAGCGACATCGATGCCGTGCAGTGGCGCCTTCTGCCTTCTCCATGTGGAAAGCGATGGAGTAAAGAATGCGATCTGTCAAGCCGCGCAGGTTCTTGAGCGGCTTGAGCATCCCTGCTGGGGACCCTGGAGACAGGAAGTTGAAGAAGGAAAGGACTGCTCCTTGAAGGGGGTTCAGGGCGAAACTTGGTCGAAAACAAGGCCGGAGCAACAAACCTTGAGATGCAAGCACGGGCGTTTTCAGGAGCAAGGCATGTTGTTTGGCTTGCGAAATCTGTTCTGTATGAAAGGCTGACTCTGAGGCGGCTCCGATCCCAAACTGTAGCAGTTTCATGCAGTTTCAAGGGTGATGTTACTTTGACTTCTTGGCTGATGCCTCTTGTAGGCGAAAAGGCTGACTTAGTTCGGTACTTAAACACCTAGCACCGCCAGTCTTCTGCTCGCTTGCCCAGGATTTCCCAATCCTGTCCATGTTGCAGTGCTCACGCACCACTGGGTGCGCACGAATCACATTCCCTATTTCAACAGATTCAGATGTTCGATCCAAATCATTTGAATCAGTGCTATACCTAGAACCTCGACCACGGGGCAGAAGAATCTATGCCTTCACAAAGGCGGCTTCGTACCTCACATATGCAGGAGGAGTTCGACTATGCTTCACCACCCCAGACACGACTAATGGGACTGCCATATATGCCGACATGGACCCCTCAAACCTCCCCAACTCTGATCGGCAGTCCGGACTGGCAGTCCCAGACACGTCGTGTCTGGACACATCACTCTGTTTGTCACTCCGGATCGAACTCGAGATCTGCATCCTCACAAGCTCGCTCCGATCGGCTTCCTCGTCTGGTGCTTCCTCTTCGGTGGAATGGAAGCCCAGAAGAACGGGGAAGAGGTAGAGGGAGACCTCCCAGGCAACGACCTCCTGGAAGAAGGAAGATAGACCAGTCTACCCATTGGTCATGGGTCAGTCTATTTACATAAGTACAATGAAACCCCTATTGGGTCCAAACGTGAAGGATCGGGTGTTGGCGTGTTTTCATCCAGGAATGTTCAGGGCCATTGGACATCGCAGTTTGGGCTCGCTGCAGCTGGGGCTGCGCAGCAGAAGGAAAGTCTTTTAGATCATCCAGATATATCCAGATGAATTTAGATAATGATGTCCCATCAGCTACAACTTTTGTCTTCTACAGAAAGACTATACATCGGTGATATAGTGTTATATATATATATGCACCTGTGTTCCTGCTTTTTGCTGTTCAAAACGTGGTTCTTCAACAGTTCAGCGCAAGATGTTGCTGAAAAGGAGTCATTAGAGTGAGTATGTATGTAAACCAATTCGAACTCAAAATTTCAATATTCATACACTTCCATGTGTTGCCATATGTGACCCTGTCCGCCAGGAAATACGATGCACATTTATATAATATATAATTGTTTGCAACATTTGCCTGAGTGGTCACATAGCACAGAGCTTTCAGGGCCACATGTTTCGATCAGGAATCTTCCTGACGAAAGCTCCACACATCAACCACTCTGAAGAGACCTCTAGCGAGGTGCCACAGATCCGTAGCCACTCCCGGAGAAGGGTTAAGAGCCAAAGTTGAAGAGCCAAAGCACCGCTCACCCTGTCGGGACGATCGCAATCACACCGGACGATCAATCCATATTGCATTTGCTGAGTCTTCAGTGTCCAGATCCAACCTGACATACTTCACTTCCTTATCCTCAGCCATCCTCCGGGGTGCCCCGCAGCTCCCCCGCGCCGCCATGACGCGGCCGAGCTGCACGCGCAGCGCGCGCAGCCGCAGCGAGAAGCGGCGACGATGGTCGCCGCACAAGGGCGACGATGGTCGCAGCACCTCCACCGACTCCAGGATGGGCCGCTGGGCATGTTCTGCTAGGCATGTCGCATCACACTTTCTGCATGTTGGTTTCTTTTGGCCAGGTTTGGTGCCACGCACAGGAGTAGGTGAGAGATGAATGGTCGGGTGAGACTTCCCTTACGTGAACCCATGTTAGGTTTTTGGTATTAGGCTGGGCAAGTGAGGGGAGCAGCCCACGATGAACCCAGACCAGCTGGTTATGGTGAAGCACAAGAGCCTCGCAATACCCAAGCCACACAATTGGTTTTACTTTGGGATAGATGGACCAGTGGGTTGCACCAGTCACTTACCAAACAAGCATCTTGAGATCGTTAAAACGAAATCTCGAAAAATCCGACAATGTGTGCAGTTTGCTTCAACAACGACTGTTTGCTTCGACGTTTTGATGGCTGTTTTCCCGTCCAAGTGTGTCCGTGTCTCAACGAATGCCGCACTTCCCGCCGTTTCTGCGGCACTTCTTCCCGCAGAAGCGGTGCGGAGCCATTCGCGTTCCGTGGCGAGGAGCTCCAGTAGCCGTTCGGATGGGAGCAAGGAGGCGGGGGGCAGTCGAGGGGCAGACGCCGGGTGGAATTGAGATTGGACGGTGATGATCTTGATGGTCCCGGGTGTGATGGTCATGGCATGGTCATTGCATCATTTTGCATCATCTTGCATTCCTAAAGTCTGCTGCATACAGAGTCCATCACTTCGACAAACAGGTGTTTCTTGAGTTTTGGATGGAGAGGATCGAGACCTCGGGTGTTCAATGGCGATCGAGACTGCGGGAAAAACATTTTGGTGTTTACTGTACTAGTACTTGGTTTTTTGGGGGAGTGTTATTCGGTCGTGAATCACAGGGGGTTGTTCGGGCACTGGGAGATGGTAGATTAGAATATGTTTTAATGATGATATGAAAATCCGTTATATGATCAAATACAACTTGGAGTTGCATAGCAGTGTAGCAGTGTCCGGCATGTGAATCAAATCATATCATATCAAATCTGATAAATCTGTATCCTTCGTTGTGGTATTGTGTTCCTATGATTTCGTGGATCATTGGATGTTGCTCGGTTCTTTTGCTTTGTTGTTCCTCTGGATTTGGGAATGCACAAGAAACAGCCACAAGAGGTTGTTATTCAAGTCACCGGCGGCTCAGGTAGCTCATTGTGGAGACCTCAAGTCGGATGTGCTTAAAACATGTTAAAACTGAAACTATATGTACACTCCTTCAAATAGTAACAATGGAAGTGGAACATGGTCAAGGGGCAATTGTCCTCTCCCATGATTACTATTTCAGGTAGTGTGGGATGTATTGCAGGACATAGTGATGTGAATAAGATGACACAGGTGCCCACACATGCCATCACTTGCTTACCTTGGTATGCCTTTGTGGTGCATGGAGGCATTGTTCAGTTGTGTTGTATGTTTCGCTCAGTCTTGAGAGTCTTGTTCTTGACAACGCTATTCTCGGCCTCCTGACCTCGCCCTTCTGCCAGACACACATCCTACATGGACATTCCTCCTGTACCCACATCTAAGATCTCAAGATCATTCAAGATCCGTTTGAAGTCCAACATATCTCGGAGGTTCGTGCAAGGATGCACCAAATCGAAAGGTGCTGCCAATTTGGACTCATCACATCAAGATGCATTTAGGAGTCCAAATTTTGGATGCACTTTGGATCACATCACATCCAGTCCACACCAAGGAGGTCTTCTATTTCTCACATCCTTGGCCTGTTCATTCCCCATATCCGCATCGTGCAGCCTAATGAGTTCCGTGGGACATTGGGATTGGCACCTACGGCCTTCGCTGTGGTTTGCCAAGCCAAAGAATCATTGAGTACAAGTTCACTGCTGGCGATTCACCACATGCATGGCATGGATTTCTTCAAGATCCATTTTCTCAGGAAAAGCTGCCCTTGTCTACATGTGTCAATCAGCTTGCTTTCTGCTTCCGGAATGGAGCGGTTTCTCTCCAAGACTCTCCATCTTCCCTCCCTCCCAGTGGTCCGGACCGGTCCGCGCCGCGCACGGCACGTGTCCAGGATGAGATCGTCCACTACTCCTGGGCGCCAGGAGCCGGATGAGTCGAGTCGAAGGAAGGAGATGAGTCGAAAAAAATGGAATGAATGCCTCAAAGTGATGTGTTGTCATTGGGACTTGGTTTCGGAATGTTGACCCTGTGTGGTTGAACTGAAGCTAGAAGCTACACGAAATGGATGAGCAGGTGATTGAAGATGTTTCTTTCTATGGCAACCTTTGGATAAGCATCCAGTGGGTATGCATCGCAACCGAGAGGATCGCGCAGCAGAGGCAGACGTGTTTCAACCACATTGCAACAATCGATCTCATACAACAACTCATTATACACATCTCAAGATATCTCAAGATATATATATATATATCATATGTTTTGATATCAAGCCTGACGCCGCATGTCTTTAATTATCAGGATTGCTGAGAGGGAACTTGATCAAACGATTTCTACAGCACGTATCACAAAGTGCCGTCTTGAGGGGAAAACGCGGAACGCCTGTGGTGTTTATAAATCATCCACAACGTCATCTTCAGATGGACGGCGCCAGCATCATCATCAGTTATTTTATGCAGTTCTCTTGGTGGTTTTAGATGCAGATCGTTGGGCGTTTCCCAACATCACCTGGTCTTTGAGGCTTGCTGGGATGTTCTCAGGTCACCTTCCTCCATGGAAAACGTGAGACGAAGAGATCTTTTTCTGACAACTTTGGGAGGACAGATCTTGAATCGAAGGCCTTGGTGGAGGGGCGCGGTGGGCGGGGATCAAGCACCATGGATGAGTATGGGACTGATTCCTGGAAGGAAACCAACTAATTACTAGGAATGGACTACCCTCCACTACTTCGGGATCTTCATTGGACACCCAGGAAGGATGGACAAGGTGGCTTTCTTTTTGCATTGGTTTTTTCCACCGGCTTGGACTGCCCGCAAGATGCGTCTTTCCGTGAATTCTTTTGGTACATCAGCAAATTGTCCAGGTCTCCGGGCTCCTGGCCCATATCCTCAGAAGGTGGTTAGATCCCCCTGGCACCCACCCCTGGCCCATCTTCGAAAGGGATGTAGCTGGAGCCCTAGGGAATAGGTGTCAGTTCCGCGGATGAGCTTTGGGAAGCGGATGAGGTGGTGCTGAACGCGCAGAAACACATGCCAGGAACTCCAAGCGGAGGGTGCAAGCACCCGCTGGATAGGTGTGGATGGGCACTCCATGGC